CACGCTTAATTCCTGAGCCATCTTCCTAGCCCTTCCCCTGATTATTATGAATCCTCACCAAATCATGTTGCCTAGGACTTGGTGTAGCTGCTGACTTCCACTATTTGGTAATGTGAAATTAGGACCCAGTCGTGCACCTGGGGCTGACTCCGTTCCCTGACTCGTATGTGCCACAGAATAAATCAGGGCAATTAAGGTATGGAGTGGGCAGTTTTTATTCTAGAATTCTACAAATTAAATCGAACATAGTAAAGCCAGGCATGGTAGTACATGCTTTAGAACTCAACACTCATGAGGCTTAAGCTAGCCTGGGCTATATAGCAAGCCCTTTCCTTAAATCAATGAGTAGAATGTGCTAGATGGTTATTTCAGGAGGCTGAAGTTTGTCAACAGAGGTCTCTGGTGGGTGCTGCCCAACGTGGTCACTCTAAGGACTGCTCACTGTGTATTCCCTTGTGTTCTACTACAGAAATGTTCATTCCTGCCTATGTGAGGTGCTATCCCAGGTCTACCTGGGGTTATGTTGAGGCAGTGTAGGCACCTGTAATCCTGGGCTGGGGAGCAGACAGGAGGATCCCCCCCTCCGGCTCACTAGCTAGGTAGCCTAACTGAATATACAGGCAAGCTCCAGTGAGAGACCCTGCCTCAAATGATAAGGTGGAGGGTGGCTGAGGAAGATACCTAATGTCAACCTTGGGACCTGCACACCCACATGTACACGTCCCTGCACACCCGCATGTACAGGTCCCTGCACACTGCACACCCACATGTACACGTCCCTGTACACCCACATGTACACGTCCCTGCACACCCGCATGTACAGGTCCCTGCACACTGCACACCCACATGTACACGTCCCTGCACACCCGCATGTACACATTCCTGCACACCTGTACACTCGTGAGAGCACTGACACACCCATGCCACACACACAATAACTAATCAGTGTCTTCCGTGCCTTGTGTGAGCGTTTGCAGTCTGTGTGGAGATTCTCAGCAGCTAAGAACTTACAGGTCCTGGTCCCCGGTGGACAGAAAGACCCTTCGCTGGTACAGCAGCAGCTTTGTCCAGATGGCAGAATGCCTTGCTTTGGTGAAAGTTGTGTGGATGTTTAACGGCGTGCTGTGAGAAGGCCATTGAATTACACAGCTGCATTGTTCTCATTTTGTTAATAAATCTGTGCAGACACAGCAGCTCATTGGCATCTTCTGATACTTGTTACTGGCACAGCCAGCTTGTAAGAGGTACTTGATAGGAAGCTCTGCAGGGCCCTCGGTGTGTAATAGTTGTTCAAATTTTGTTGCATGAATCAGCTACTCAATGCTGAAACACTTAGTCAAGTTGTAGCAATTGAAAGAGCACCATGGTTATGTCAGATACCTTTGTAAACAATTCTTAATTTCAAATTGCCTCCTTGACTTCGGTTCCACTTCTACAGGTAATTGTGATAATTGGGATTCGTGGTTCCAGTGTGACCTGGAGCAAATTCACCATTGGGGAATGACTTTGGAGATCACTAGACTATGCATTTCTGGTGCTCTCAAAGGGATGTGTGAGGACTAGAGAGCCAGGTCAGAGGTTAAAATACTTGCCACATTAGCATGAGGTCAAATCCCCAACTCTACATATAGAGGATGGGCAAGCCAGCCTCAGGAGGCATAGTCAAGGGACCCTCAGAACAGCCTCACTACCAGGATCAGACATATCGTCAAACTCTGGGTTTGATTGAGGGACCCTGCATCAGTGAATCGGGTTGAAGAGCAGATAAGGATAATTCCCACACACTTAAAAACATGCGCACTTGCCTGGCGGTGGTAGCGCAGTCCTTTAATCCCAGGGAGGCAGACACAGGTGTACCTCTGTGAATTCGAGGCCAGCCTGGTCTACAAAAGCAAGTTCCAGAATATCCAGGATCGTTACACAGAGAAAACCTGTCTCAAAAACAAAACATGCACACGTACACCCTACACATGAAAAGGGGGAAAAAAGTGTAAGTGTCTTATATACATTGTGAGCTTGTGAGTTTGGACTCATGTGTGTAGCTACAAGTGTGTGTGTGAGTGTGTGTGTGTGTGTGTGTGTGTGTGCTCACACCCACACGCATACAGAGGACAGCCACTGGTGTCGTTCCTCAAGCAGCTTGATTCTTTGAGACCGAGTCCCTCACTGGTCTGGGACTCAGTGATCGGTCTATGCAGGTTGGCTGATGCCCCTTAGGGACTGCCCGTCCCCAGCTCTCTAGATAGAGAAGTGCACACCCGCACACTTGACTTTAGTCCGTGGGTTCCCAGGGTTGGAGCCCAACTGCTTACACCTGTGAGTCATTTCCCAACCCCCTTGTGGCTCATATGTACCTCAGGTTCCTTTTTGTCTTTCCTTCCTCCCAGGAGGGGAGTTTCTTAATTAGCTGTCTAACCTAGAATCCTGAGAAATGCAAGTGTTTGAGAAACGAAAGAAACAGGGAGCCTACAAAGAAACAGAGAGGGAACAATCAAGTCCGAGAGAGCGAGAGAAGCTGGACATTATGGCGGTCACAGAGATAAAGTTAAGTAAGGAGGTGGGCTTCGTGCTCCGGCAGACTGAAGGAACCCTTTGCAAAGAGGCATCATGCGCGATGGGTGTCAAGCGTGTGGGGACCAGAATCTCAACTTTCCTCTGCTGTCTAACAAGTCGTTAGACTCATCTCAGCCTCGCTTTCTATCCTCCACTGCGTTTAAGTTGTGGTTCCCGGTGAACCTCAGGAGCTGGATCAGGTTTTCCTGGTTGTTAGTAATGTTTGCACTGTAACCGCATGCCCGACGGAGGAACCGGAGTGTGAGCTACTGCTCCCAACAAGTTGTGTTCCTAGACCGTTTTATCATTCCTTCCCTTATAGAAGCTAAAGTGCATATTTATACTTTTTCTTCCTTTTGGTTTTTGAGATAGGGGCTCTTGTGGCTCGGGCTGACATCAAGACTTGCCATGCAGCCAAGGATGACCTTGAATTCCTGATCCTTCTGCCTCTACCTCCCCAATCTGAGATCATAGGTGTGTACCTGGTAGTACTCATACATCTTTTTTTTTTTTTTTTTTTTTTTTTTTTTTTTGGTTTTTCGAGACAGGGTTTCTCTGTATTGTCTTGGAGCCTGTCCTGGAACTCGCTCAGTAGACCAGGCTTGGTCTCGAACTCACAGAGATCCTCTGCCTCTGCCTCCCGAGTGCTGGGATTAAAGGCGTGTGCCACCAACGCTCGGCACTCATACATCTTAATACACTGGTTTTTATTGTTTTTTTCTTTAATTCTGTAAGTTAAGTGACATTGTGCTGGGGCTTTTCTCTCCATAGTGTTTTTACGGGCTGCCTATGGTATCTAATTGCATTTGTGGCTGTGTATTAACACCGAGTAGCACAGACATCACCCATTTGGCCAGGGGCAGCTCTGTTATGATTTATTATAATTTTGATACTTTCTGAACAGCTGCACCCTGTTCTGCACTGCAGGCACTAGAGTGTCTGCCTTTGGGGTGTCTGCATCCAGAAATGGAAACAGATTATCAGGTTGAAAGATACCCAGGCCATCACTTGGTAGATACTGCCTAAGTGCTTCTAAGAGCTGGCCCACCGGAATCTGAGTTAAGGTTTGTATCCAGCTTTACCAGATTAAAGGTGTGAAACTCTACCTTTCTTTAGTGTGCATTTCCCTAAGTTTTGAAGTAAGAGTTTCATTTGGTGTCTGTAGTGTTTGCTACTTGACCCCGCTCTGTGCACATGTCCCTATGCATCGGTGATTGGTTGTAGCATTGGGTTTAAGGAGTTGCTTTTAAAATTCTGGATGTGAAGCTGGAGAGATGACTTGGTGGTTAAAAGCACTTGCCGCCCTTCCAGAGGACTCCGGTTCAGCTCCCAGCATCTATATGGTGACTCACAACCCTCTGTAACTCCAGTTCCAGAGATGCATCTGGGCATGCATATGGTGCATAAGCATAAATGCAGGCAAACATTCATAGACATGGCACTAAAAAATGAAAATAAAATGTCTTGATGCATTTAATTGGGGGCATGCTTACAGTTCCAGAATGTTGAGTCCATGGGAACCATGGCGCCAGGCTGGCGTAGTGTAGTGCTAGAGACGTAGCTGAGAGCTCATATCTTGATCCATTAACTGGAGGCAAGGGAATAGAGACTGAGCCTCGCATGGGCTTTTGAAACCTCGGAGTCCACCACCAGTGACACACCTCCTCCAAAAAAGCCACACCTTCGCCAATAAGGCCACACCTCCTAATCCTTCCTAAACAGTCCACGAACTGGGACCTAGGCCACGGGGACGGACGGACCATGAACTGTTGATGTTTAGGGCAGGGGTGGGTGAGAAGCACAGAGAGGAGCCATGGGTAGTTGTGATGCCGAGGAAGCCTGAGGCCAGCAAGTGCCTTCGTATGCTAATGGATACCACAGTAGACATTTGTCCTCAGTTTCTTTTGGATCTGACACCCCCCGTGCCTTGGATTTTCTAGAATAGAAGGGGTAGATTTTCTGGAATACCATGTATGCATTTGAGGATGTTGGGATAAGAACAGGAAAGGGGGAAAAAGGAAGAGGAGGAAAGAAACAAAAGGAAGGTCTACCTAAGCTGGAAACTAAGACCATTGCTTAGTTGGCTGTGTCTGGAGCTGGTGTGGGCTCTTGGGGGAGCTAGTTTATGTGGGATACTGCAGAAGTTCCCGAGTATTCCTTTGTGGGCATATATGTATGCATGGTCTCCTTCATAGAGAGTTTATTTCTGAAATCCCTTCATCGGTATGCATGTGTATGGACAAGCGCCTCCTTCATGGAAGGGTTGGCAGAAATGACTCCATGTTGCTCCTGCATAAAACCCCTCTGTGAATGATCTAGTTGTTTATTAAGCAATTTTAAGTTCTAGTAATGTTGGTTGTCTTGTTTACATTTGGAAGGACTAAAAAGTGATACGTCCGTGCTTTACGTGCGGATTAAAAAACAAATTAATTGCGCCCTGCCCCCAGGTCTTCACGGGAGACTCCTGAGGAGACTGGCACCAAGGATGAGCGAGCTGGAGCAGTTGAGGCAGGAAGCCGAGCAGCTGCGGAGTCAGATCCAGGTGGGGAGTGTGCGGCTTTGAAGCCCGCCTGCTTAGTCCGGCTGCAGCAGTGTGTAGACACACCGTTTATTAGTTTACCGGTCTGTTACAGTGGACACTTCACTCCAGCCCCTGGCATCCATATACCCGAAGAGTCTGGAATGTTCTGGTGGAAATTCCACCCAGACTCCCCTCCCCTCTCTCTCCAAACCCTGCTGCATCTCAGAAAGCCTGCTAAATGATGGCCCCTCCCCCAGAGATCCTCAAGACCACGCCCACAAGGTGTTTAAACTGCCCCCCCAGAAAACAGTCTCTCTTTCCCATCTCCTCTCTGGAGAGCTGGAAGGCCACCCGGGAGTACCATTAAATGTGGGCTTTTTCTAATTGGGTTTGATTTGGTCTGATTTGGATTATTCGGGGTGCAGAAACTTTTCAGGTCAACACTTATCAAGTCATTCATGAGGAGAGAAGTGGTTGGCCTGAGTTAGTTGTGATGTCACTCTTTTGTAACCTCTGCACTCAGGAGATGGAGATGGAAGGATCTGGAGTTCAAGGCCATCCTTTGTTACTTAGCAAGTTCAAAAGCCTCCTTGGGCTAAGCAAGATCCTTTCTCGAGGAAACAATATGAAAATGGTTAAGTTGTTTTTATCATGCTTTTAGAGAACTCTTCCCCCAAACCATTCCAAACAAGTATCCATGCCAGCAAATGACACTTGACACTGAAAAGGAGTAGAAAAGAGAGTAGCGTGCCTAGGGCCGAGATGACTCAGTGGGTAAAGGTGCTCGCTGCCAAGCCTGATGACCTGGGTTCTGTCGCTGGGACCCACACGACGGAAGGAGAGAACTGACTCCTGACAGCTGCCCTCTGACCTCCACACATGTGCTATGGTGAGCATGCCCCCCACACACACAAAGTAAAATTTTAAAGTTAATGAAAGTAGAATTTCCAATATAACTGAGAGACAAGTGTCACGATGAGAATGAATGTATGTATGTCAGACAGACAAACATATATATATATTCTATCAAGAGGCCAGAAAAGTGGCTCAGTAGTTAAGAGCACTTGCTGCATTTGCAGAAGACCCAAGTTCAGTTCCCAGAGCTCACATCAGGAGAGACTCACAACTCACTTATAACCAGCTGTAAGGATTTATCACTCTCTCCTGGCCTTTGCAGGCAACACACACACACACACACACACACACACACACACACACACACACGCACGCACGCACGCACGCACGCACGCACGCACACATAAATAAAAATAAAGTATATTTAGAAAACTATCAAGTTTGAAAATTGTATATCTTGTAAGGGTCAAGTATCTAAAATATATAAAGAATGACTATATCTGGACAAAAAAGAATACAACCTGATTTAAAAGTTGGAAAAGCTTTAAATAGAAATCCCTTCAAAGGCATGAAAACACAGACACACAAGCTCACACACAGCGTACTCACAGACACAAACACAGGTACACCAACGATGCACACACAGACAGATAGACACACGCACAGCATAATCACAGACACAAACACAGATGTACACCAACGATGTGCACACACAGGTTTATACTCACAGACACACACACAGACAGACATGCAAAGACAGACACATACACACAGAGAAACAGACAGACAGACACACAGACAGATAGACACACACACATGCAGAGACAGACAGACAGACAGACACACACACACACACACACACACACACACACAGGAAGTGCATGGAAAGATTCCCAATAAAACCCAAACCACAGTGTGATACTTCACAGCTAAGGTGGCTGTAATGGAAAGCACAGACCACCATAAGAGTCACAGTGACCTTGCAGAGCCCTGGACATCTCTGGTGCAGCGTCTCTGAACAATAGCATGTAGAATTTCCAAAGGGGCGGGAAACATGGGAACATCGCACTTTGTAATAACTGAAACGTGGAAACAGTCTGTGTCCAAAAGTCTCAGGTACCAGCTAGAATGCTGGAAGTCGTCTGTGAGGACTGCCAGCCTTGAAGCAGAGGCACACTGCTTGTGGGGGTCACATGGCTGACCCGTGGAAACATGCCATGTACTGTATGATGTGGTTTACCAGAGAGGTCTGATTGGCAGATCCACACAGAAAGGACAGGGTGGAGGGAGGAGAGGCTGAGGCTTGCAGAGAAGGGGGGTCAGACAGATGGAATTTCTTTGGGAGCCGATAGATATGGTAGACATGTTCTAGATTGGACCATTGTGTGGTTCAATTCTGAATGTAACGAAAAACCACCAAATTGCTTCCCTTACAATGACTCCTTTTATGTTAGGTAAAGTTTATTCCAGAAAAATTTAAGATGATGTGATACAGTAAAGGTTTACTTTCAATAAATACAAGTTTGTCCCATCTAGATGCCCCCCTCACCATGTCACCGTCTTTCTTTGCTCTAGGATGCCAGGAAGGCCTGCAATGATGCCACGCTGGTTCAGGTAAAGTGTCCCCAGCTCGTGACAGCCGTCCACATGAAGTGGCGCAGTGCGGGTGACATTCAGACTTGTTACTGAAGGTGTTGTCCACAGTACACTGCTGCAGTAGACGTCTGTCTGGGGGACAGCGAGCACTGGGGAGACACGCAGAAGTGTCTAGTCCTGCTCATTCTTACGCACTTTCCCAATCTTTACGGTACATGCTGAGTAAGCCTTTTTCTGCGCACCGAGTGTGTGGAACTGAATTACAGATGGTTGTGAGCTGCCATGTGGGTGCTGGGAATTGAACCTGGGTCCTCTGGGAGAGCAGCCAGTGCTCTTAACTGCTGAGTCATCTCTCCAGCTCCATGGCTTTCTTATATACCATTACAAATGTTTTCTCTAGTCACTTATTTCTAGTTTCCCTTTGTGACTGGTGTGTGGTTTTTTTTCCTATAAAAACACTGTGTGTCATATTTGTGGGCGCACTGTGACAGCTGGGCACATATGCAGTGTATCAAATCAGGGTAGTAAGAGCTTCCGGTGTTTATTGTTGCTTTGCGTTGAGAGACCCAAGCCACCTCTCCTGTAGCTCTTTATAAACTGATGGGGGCTGACAAGATGGCGTCAGGCCAGGCAATTGCCATGCAAGCCTGAAGACCTCATTTGGACCCCCAGAATCTGAGTAAGGTGGAAGGAGAGAGAAGCTCCACAGAGTTGTCCTCTAACCTCAGCATGTACTCCCCCCTACACACACACACACACACACGCACACACACCCACACACATATAGACACACACGCACACACACACGCGCACACACGCATGCACGCGCACACACACACAGACACACACGCACACACAGACACACACGCACACACACACGCACACGCACACACACAGACACACACACACACGCACACGCGCACACACATACACGCGCACACAGACACACACGCACACACACATGCACGCGCACACAGTTCAGAACCTGTCCTTGCGGGGCGGCTTGCCCAGCCACACTTCCTCCTTCCTACCTGTCTTGTTTTTTCGCTGTGCTGGGAGCTACACTGAAGTTTGGAAGTGCGTGTGTTTACTTCAGCCCCTTCTCTGGAAAGGCGTCCTCGTGTGCAGCAGCACACACCATGACCTGTGTGAGTCACGTGTGAACTGAAGTCTCGGCAGGCCTGTTGCGTCTTATACTGGATCACCGTCGGCTACTGTGGGTTTCTTTCTGCTTTTTATCTACCGACACATCTAAGGCAAAGAGTAATGCTCCTGTTGCTTTCTAAAGATCACATCTAATATGGACTCGGTGGGTCGAATTCAAATGCGAACACGGCGCACGCTGCGCGGCCACCTCGCTAAGATCTACGCCATGCACTGGGGATATGATTCCAGGTCAGTGACTGTCGGTTATAAAATGCCCATGGGAGTTTCTTCATTAACACTCAAACAATTATGAGCACGTTCCTTGCTCTAGGAGTGAACATTCATTAACTCTTCAGAGGCCGAGAGCTGTTTGTTTCCGTGTGGGGATCAAGCCCAGGGCCCCCTCATTGCTGTATCCTCAGTTTGAAGTTCACAGAGTTTTTAGGGCAAGCAAGATGGCTTCTTGGATGAAGGTGTTTGCCTGGCAAGTTGCCCTCTGATCTCCATATGTGGGCCACATATGGACATAAACATACAGAGTAGGGTTAATGTCAGTAAATACTGCTTAAAGTTTCTGATATGAAAAATGAATTTGCCTCCCTAAAAGATCTTTGTCTAGTGACCTGTGGAAACTATTTAGAGGAGGGTTTCTTTCTTTGTTCTAGAATCACTGTGCCTTCCCAGTGAGAAGTCACTCTGCACACTTGGAGATTCTTACAGAAGAAAGAACTTTTTCCTAAAGTTTTATTTATTTATTATATATACAGTATTCTGCCTACATTGCCTGCAGGTCAGAAGAAGGCATGAGATCCCATTACGGATGGTTGTGAGGCATCATATAGTTGCTGGGAATTGAGCTGAGGTCCTCTGGAAGAGCAGTCAGTGCTCTTAACCTGTGAGGCACCTCTCCAGCCCCAGGAGGAAGCTCTTTAAGAAAGCACATTTCCAGCTGTGGCGAATGCTCAGGGTAGAGCTGGCCCTGGACAGAAGACTCCACTAACTCATGTACACCGTAGGCTTATGCATTTCACATACAGTCATCCTTAACTGTCTTTCAGGTCGTGGTCCAGGTTAGACTTTGAACACTTTAAAGAGACAGGAGCCCACAAGTCTGGCTGCATAGGCAGATGAGAGATTTACACAGGAATGATACTACATGTTGCCAGAACCATTTTAGTATACAAGTGTGTACCTTTTCAAATAGTTGTTACCCAGTCATCTTCCCTCTTGACAGAATTATGCTGTTCTCAGAGAACTGGGGCTTTATGGCCAGCCAGGACTTAACCTGTGACCCTGTGCTGCTCCTTGCAGCCTGTTCAGGAATGTTCTTTGAGATGAAGACCGCCTAATGGCTGTGGTAAATCAGAGTTGTCTCCTTTGTTATGGGAGTGGAGCTTGGTGGCTGGGTCAGTCCTGGAGAATAACATTTACATCCTAGGTCTTAAATTTCACTTATCTCTAACCGGCCTGGTCAGCAAGCCAGGCCCCTTTGGGGTGTTTTTAAAAGAGCAATCCTTTGACTAAAGTCTACCTTGTGTGAGTTATTGTCTTCCAAGCAGATTGGTAAAACCGTTACAACTGCATCCTCTTTTAGAAGTGTTATCGTGTGTTTTTAGTATGTCAAAACGGTTTTGTTTGGGGAGGGGTTGTTTCTTCTGGGACAGGCTAGTGCTAAGTAGCTCCAGCTAGCCGCAGTGTCCTCCTGACTCAGGCTCCTGAGTGCTGGAATTACAGGTATGTATAAACAGATGACGTGACTGCCCCAGGGTGCGGTGTGGGAGAACACCCAGATGCATCTGGAAGAGTCCAGAACAGAGAGAGAGAAGTGGACTGAGCGTGGCCGCAGACGGGACCTGGCTGTGAGAGCAGGAACGGAGCAGAGAGATGGGGCAGGGGGAAACAAGCATAGGGTTTAAAGAGAAGGAGGAGAGGGAAGGAAGCCTGTGAGGTGAAGGGAGTTCAGCATGGGGGAGGTGAAAGGAGCCAGCATGGACTCTGAAGTGTGTAACAGGTACTTGTGGTGTAAGGGAGCCTGGAGGCAAGCATGGGCTTTGGTGTGCCAATGGGCGGCACAGATAGCCTTTTGTCCCCTCAGTCTTTTGGAATTTGGGGAGATGGCCTTTCCTGTGGACCTGACAAGGTATGCACACCATTCCAAGCCAAACCCTGGCCTTACTGTTTATTAGTGTTAAGATACCAGTTAATAAACACTTAAGTGTGTCTTCGTCTAAATTGTGGAAGTTACTGTACCTTATCAACTAACTCCAGAAAGACTGAAATATATATATATATATATTTTTTTTTTTTGGGGGGGAAGGGGTCTCTGTGTAACCCTGGCTGTTCTCAATCGCACAGAGATCTGCCTGCCTCTGCCTCTGCCTCCTGAGTGCTGGGATTAAAGATTAACACCTCCAGGCCCAGCAATTGAATAATCTCTTACTTCCCCAGCCTAACACACATACTTTTTGCCCCAGCGTTAGCATAAAGCTGGAAGGGGGTCCTTCGTGGGGGACCATGGCAGATTCCATGGCCAGGCGAGGGTGACCCAGGCGGAGGACAAATACGCCAGGCAGACAGAGCTTGAGTGAGAAGTTTTATTAGGAAGGAAAGAGAAAAGATATAAAGAGACACAGAGACAGAGGGAAGACAGAAGAGAAGAGGGAGACAGGAGCAGAAAGAGAGGAGAGCGGAGAGAGCAGAAACAACAGTAAGAGCAGAGCAGTAAGAGAGCTTTAAGTGGGCGGGGTCTGTCATTTAAAGGGGTCCTTTACACCTGCATGCAGACTAGTACTCATGGAACCCTGGGCTGACCAGGGTACTGCCTGAGTGCATTCTGCCAGTGACAGGGGCAGGCCAGCACAATGCCTGAATCCTTACACACATGCTGTTTTTCTGTGATTGTATTCGTTAATCATTTTGTTTCTATTTCTGAGCTTAATAAAATCTTGGTCTAAAAGTGAGGAGGGTATTGAAATCACTAACATAGTGTATGTGCCTCATATAGAAGGGAAGAGATAAAATTATATATTGACAGCTAGTATGAAGCTAAGGCAGATTTTTCTTAATTTAAGATAAAAATATTTGCCCTGGGCCAGCAAGATGACTGAGTGGGTGAAAAGTTGCCACCTGATGGCCTGAATTTGCTCCCCAGAACTCGTAGTAGAAAGAGAGAGCTGGCTCCTGCAAGTTGGGCTCTGGCCCCTCCACACCCACATATAAATAGATAAATATGAATTAACAATTAAAAATAAATTTGCCTTGGTACCGTAGACTTTTAACCAAAAATCTAATTACTGAACACTGTTAGTGATTATTTCCTTAAATGTCCTGTGGTTTCCAAGTTTTCCTTCGTCCCCTGTAAGCCCACCTTTGGGCCTCCCCTTCTGTAAACACAATTGGATTGGAAACCTTTGCCTACATACAGAGAAGAAAACTGAGCGGTGTTTGTAATTGTACCTTTTTTCATATCTTTATATTTTATATATAGTAACAAAGCAAAATCCCAGAACAGCACAGAACAACAAAAATCCAGTGACCATGTAGCCAAGAATTCATAAATTGGTGGAGCAAAGCCCCATCTGTATTCTCAGCTGCATGATTGGAAGGCGCACAGGTCCCGGGACTCCCAGAATTTTCCTGCCTCTGTTCACTCATCTCTACCCTCCTCCTAGGATACGCTTTATCTCTTGCTCTTGGAAATTCCAGTTTCTGGGGCTGGAGAGAAGGCTTAGTGGTTAAGAATATGCACTGCTCTTCCAGAGGACCCAAGTTTGGTTCCCAGCACCCACACCCAACCTCCTGTGACTTCAGCTCCAAGGGATCTGACACCTCTGGCCTCTGGCACCCGTACTCAGGTGTGTGCACAGGCACACATAGACACTGCCCATTGTTTCTTGTTCATTTGTTTCTGATCTTTTGAGACAGAGTCTCTTTGTATATCCTTGGCTGTCCTAGAACTAGCTCAGTAGACCAAGCTGGCCTCGAACTCACGGAGATCCGTCTGTGCCTGCCCCTGCCTCTGCCTGGGATTAGAGACCTGTACTGTCACCACCCAGCCCACACATTGTCCTCTTATTAAGGCAACAAGCCATAATGTATCCCACTTATCTCTTCAGCACCTTTTTTATATCATATCTTTGGCATCTCTTATTTACTTGGTTTATTATAAGCATGTGCAAGTGACTTACCTCACAAGATGGCAGATGGCCTCCACCATGGCTGTGGCCTGAACAGTACCCACACACAGCACTGCCCTTCACTCACAGGCTTTTGGGTGACAGCCTGGGCTGGATGGGATGTGGATATTGGGCCTGGATCTACTGTTGAGTCACTAAACTAAGTCAGTCACTAGTATCTACCGAGGCCTTCATTGGTAACTAAAATGTCACAGGGGAAAAACTGAATCATAGACAGACAGCTTTAGTCAGTAGCTAAATATTACACTTTCTGTTTAAAGTGTTTGGCATGGAACATGATGTTTTGAAAAGTTGGAAGAAATGTTATTTTGGTATGCAGGTTTTATTAGGAAAACTTTTCTGAAGTGTCCTTCAAAGCCAGGATGAATAACTAATAACCTTTTTCCCTCTCAGTGTCCAATTGTTCTTGTGTTTCTCCTCTAGGCTTCTAGTCAGTGCATCCCAAGATGGAAAATTAATTATTTGGGATAGCTATACGACAAATAAGGTAGAATTTATTTATCTTTCTTTTAAATGATCTTGTATTTGTTTACTGCCTAGCAGTCCTTTCTTATTCAGAGTCACTCCTTCTGAGATACATTTATTCTAGATCCAGACCAGCTCTTACGACAGTTGGCTTTTAGTGCTGAGCTCTTTTTATTTCTAGGGACAAGCTATAAGAATAATTTCAGAGTGTGTGTGAGATTCCCTGCATCCCTCCCTCTTTGTCTCTGTCTCTTTCTCTCTTCCCCCCCTCCCTCCTTTCTCTCTCTTTCTGAGACAGGCACCTATTTAGCCCAGACTAGCCTTGAAATCACTGTGTAGCTAAGGTTGGCTCTTTAACTCTGCCTCCACAGTACTGAGTTTACAGCTACCCAGCTCCATGCCTGGCTTGTGAAGATGATCATTTTTATATAGACATGAACTTTTAAAATGTCCAGTTCCTGGGATAAATAGCACTGACATTTTTGTTTGTGTTAGATTATGGGTGATGGTTCCTGGAGAGCTCTTCCTTGGTTTACTCCAGGGACGACTTTGTTTTCATGGATGACTCAGAAAGTAGACACGTTGAATTTGTTGATATCTAGTAGTGAAAAATCTGGATTCTCTTACTTTACCCAGCATGAGGAAACCTTGATTTCAAGTTGCTGAATAGCAGTGGAAACATGGGGGGACATATTTTACAAGTCAAATTCTCTTGTACCCTGTGTACATCAGCAGTAATTAATTGACTAAGCAGTCAGAAACAGTGTGTGCTGAAATGAACAGTCCTGAAGCCCTTCCCCTGAAGGGTTAGACTCAGAACCTTGTCTACACAAGGCAGGTGCTGTGTCCATGTCTGCACACTTATCCTGATTGAGACTTACAGAGAACTAAACTAGTGAGCCAACTGGTTTTCTATCCTAATTGGTATTAAGCTAGTGTCATTCAGACCCATTTTGTTTTCTGAGACAAACAGAATAACCCCAAATACACTTTTGATACTATTTTAGGTCAAGAGGAAGCATGGTACTATCACATGATGTGGACACCCTGTATGGGGTTAGCCTTGGTAAATCAAAACCTTAAGCTGTTCCACTTGACGTGCTTGTAAATTGGAGATCCTGGAACGTTCCCTGTTAATACAGGGGCACTCATACAGGCCTCCTTGGAAAAGCCATCGGAATTGGCTGTGATACTTTTCAGTCCCCACCCTTTTCTGGTTCAGTGTTCAGGAATCTTGAGCATTATTGTGCCAATGACTTTGCTAAAGTCTTCATTCATACTTTGCATCTTACTCAGTAGACAGAGGCAGGCAGATCTCTTGGAGTCCAGTCTGCTCTAAAGTCATTCCAGGTCAACAGGGCTATCTATTAAGATAGTTTCTCAAAAACCAGAAGGAAAATCCGTGTAGCTTTGCTTTTATTCAGAACGTTGAAAGGCAATGGTGCTAGAGAGATGGCCACTTGACTAAAAGCTCTTGCTGCTCTCCCAGGGGCCCTGAGTTCGGATCATAGAACCTGCATCCAGGGATCACAACTCCCTATAGCGCCATCTCCAGGGGACCCGATGCCTGTGGGTCTAAGGGCACCTGCACTTAATTAACTCCGCAGACATGTAATTAGAAATAAAACTGTTCCTAAAATGAACGCTTCAAATCCCAGTGACCCGCTCACACAGAAGGGGGCATCCTGTGTGCCTGTGCTGTTTCCAGTCTCATGGCCTCCTTTCCCGAGCTCCTGCCTGTTTGTTCTTCACTGTGCCTGATTTCCAGCTGTGCTTGCTTCGTCCTAAGCAGGTTTAGGAATGCCCTGGCCGCCCTGGAAGTCTTTCCCCATAACAGCCCCCATGTCTCTGTGCATTGTCTGTGTGGTAGATGCATGCCATTCCGCTGAGGTCCTCCTGGGTGATGACTTGTGCCTACGCCCCATCTGGCAACTATGTCGCCTGTGGAGGCTTGGACAACATCTGCTCCATATACAACCTGAAGACTCGCGAAGGGAACGTGCGGGTGAGCAGAGAGCTACCAGGGCACACAGGTGAGCCGTCTAATACAGCCACGTCCTCCTCAGCCTCCTGCTTCCTGACAGCCGACCAAGGCTACACGGCGGCGGGGTGCGTTTCGGTAGCCAGAGGAACCGGCAGGCAGAAATCACTGATTTCGCACGCCTTTAATCCCAGCACTCGGGAGGCAGAGGCAGGTGGATCTTTGTGAGTTCGAGACCAGCCTGGACTACCAAGCGAGTTCCAGGACAACCTCCAAAGCCACAGAGAAACCCTGTCTCGAAAAACCAAAAAAAAAGAAAAAAAAAGAAAAAAAAAAGAAAGCGATCCCTCTCAGAGTGCACATGATGGTGGTTATTTTGGTACTTTAGTTTGGTGCTGGGGTTGCCTCTGGGGCCTTGAGCGTTCTCTCATGGAGGTATATGCCTACCCCTATGATATTTTTTCTTTCAAATATAACTATTGTTTTGTAAACATGATAAATTTGCTACCTCACAAATCCAAACAATCATAAAAAAAATACTAAAGGAAGCAAATACAGCCTTCTGTACTTCTGCTGCTCTGGAGCAAGATTCAGGATTGTATTGCCTCTGCTGGTGGAATCATGAGTCACTAGCACTGTGGCTATGCAGCAATGCTTACTCCCCAGGCCTCTTCCCTCAGAGGTCGCTGTCACTAGTATCCTTCCTGTCTGTGGTTGGGTCCTGCCCGTTGACCACGTGCCTACAGAGTCTCACAACAGTTTCCCTGCCTTTTGGGAGCTCTGAAGATGCTTATGGCCAGGAGTCATGCAGATACCACACTTCCCATAAAGCCTTCAGGGCATTTTCAGGGTTTTCTCCAGTGCTGGGTCCATTCTGCCATGGATTATAGGTTACAGGTACCGGTTAAGGAGCCCCCTCCCTCAGGTGTGTCCAACCTACAGCCTACAGACTACATGCAGCCCTGGATAGCTATGAATGCAGCCCAACACTATCAGAAACATATTGAAAAACTTTTAAAAATTATCGTAATTTTAAACAATTGTATGGTTCTTAAGCATGAATTTTGTAGATGACAGTGTTGTGTCACAATGTCAAGGTTAAACACACTGTGCCGCTAATAGGCTCCCATGCTTGACGTGGCCACTTGGAATGCCCACTGATACAGTGAGTACCTCAGGAGACAGTGGGAAATTGGAGTCATTAAAACACAGCTGTATGTCCCAAGGACAAGGCCCTGTTGCCCGAGGTTGGGTTTTATCTAGTTTCTGTGTCACTGGATCCATGACCTGACATTTGCTGCTCTCTGCTGCAGGCTACTTGTCCTGCTGCCGGTTCTTAGATGATGGACAAATCATTACAAGTTCAGGAGACACAACTTGGTAAGTTCATCCCAAAAGGAGCCGGACTTAGTGGGCACAGACACTGTGGAGGGGCGTGGTCATCTTGTGTCTGGCCTTGTGTTCACAGTGCTCTGTGGGACATTGAGACTGGGCAGCAGACCACGACATTTGCAGGACACTCGGGTGATGTGATGAGTCTCTCTCTGAGTCCTGACTTGAAGACCTTTGTTTCTGGTGCTTGTGATGCATCTTCAAAACTGTGGGATATCCGAGATGGGATGTGTAGACAGTCTTTCACGGGACACATCTCAGACATCAATGCTGTCAGCGTAAGTAAAGGACGTTTGTCTGTTTGGGGGACAGAGTCTCATGGAACCCAGTATGGCCTCTGACTTGCTATGCAGCTGAGGATGACCTCGTACTCCTGACCTTCCTGATACTGCTCCCTCCGCCTCTCAAAAATTTACTGTGTGACTAAAGTGCTGAACATGACTCCATTATAACAAATTGCTTTCATGGATTCTTACAACCAGTGTGCCCTTACAACACTAAATCCTCTGTAGACCAGGCTGGCCTCGAACTCACCGAGATCCGCCTGCCTCTGCCTCCCGAGTGCTGGGATTAAAGGCATGCGCCACCAACGCCCGGCTGATTTTTAACATTCTTAATCCATAAATCTGGATGCTTATTTTTAGGCAAGATACAAGCTTTATTTCCAAAATGAGTAGGGACAGGTTGTGGCTAGCAGGTAGCCTCATGGGTGTTCACTGTGTGTCTGGATGAGAAGTCATCCTGTATCAAGGGGAGCCACACAGGGTTCAGTGAGGAAGAGAGTGCTGTTCTTTGTAGAGAGACTGCCAAATCAGGGAGATGTTGGTCTGCCATGTACCAGATCTGAAACTGACCGATGTCAGCCAGCCTTCCTGACAGGGCTAAAGCTGCTTTATCAGAACAACACAGTATGGAGAGTACATGGATTATGTATTAGAAACACAGAAAATGTTGGAGACTATTAGAATTACTTCAGTGTGTGTAAGTGTGTGCACGTGTGCGTGTGTATGAGTACACACGTGCCTGTAGCTATGTATGTCCATGTGTACACAGGCTGTGGAGTCCAAAAGTGGACATCTGATACCTCCTTGCTTTTAAATCCTCCTCCTTTTGTGATACAGGGTCTCATTAGCTCTGGCTGACTTGGCACTTACTGTGTAGACTAGGGTTGGTTTTAAACACAGAGAGATCCTCCTGCCTCTGCCTCCCTGGGATTGCAGGTATGCACCGCTATGTCTACCTTCTACTCCTTAGTTTCGGGAGCACCTTTCACTGAGCCTGGAGCTAATCGATCAGGCTAGGTGGCTCTTGAGCTCTGGTAACCTCCGTGTCTCCAGAGCTGGAGTTCCAGGTGAGTGCCATTTCACATGAATGCTGGGGTTCAATCCAGGTCCTCTCGGTTGTGCAGCAAGCACTTCACTAAACGAGCCATCTCCATAGTCCTGCTACTTCATTTTTTTTATTTGTTTGGTTTTTCGAGACAGGGTTTCTCTGTATTGTTTTGGAGGCTGTCCTGGAACTCGCTCTGTAGCCCAGGCTGGCCTCGAACTCACAGAGATCTGCCTGCCTCTGCTTCCCGAGTGCTGGGATTAAAGGCGTGCGCCACCAACGCCCGGCTCTATTTCATATTTTTAAGAAACTCAGACAACCACAAGCAAGTTAGGCAGATGCAAGGTGCTGGAGATAAAGGAAGGTAAACTCGTCCTGGGCTTTTGAGAAATGTGAAAACGACACTGAGTGACAATACAAGTGATTATCAAGCGGTGATTGAGAGGAGGAGTTCTGAAGTACGTGGGCCACCACTTTTGAGTCAGCTAAGTGCTCCTGTACAGTTCAGATGCCAAAGTCTGTAGACAGGAGACATTCCAAAGGAGCTATGCTGGTCAATTACAATGAAGACATTACAATTCTATAAGCAGATACCTTACAGTGTGTGCATTTATTATTCCCATGCTAAAAGTCATTTTCATATGGTTTTATAGATTACAGCTGTCCTAGTTGCTATGTATTGCTATGATAAACACCGACTAAAAGGAACTTGGAGGGGAAAGAGTTTATTTGGCTTACACTTCCAGGTAACAGTCCATCACTGAGGGAAGTCAGGGCAGGAACTCCAGATAGGAACCTAGAGGCAGGAACTGAGGCAGAGGCCATGGAGGATGCTGCTTCCTGCTTGGTCCCTATGGGTTGCTCAGCCTGTTATTTATAACCCAGGATTACCTGTCCAGGGGTGGTACACAGCTCAGTGGACTGGGCTGGCCCACATCAGTCACTCTTCAGCACAATGCCTCATAGACTTGCCTACAGGCCAATCAGATGGAGATGGAGACTTCCTCCCAGTGAAGGTTTGTTCCCTCTTCCCAAATGACTCTGGTTTGTGTTGAGTGACAAAACCTGACCAGTGCAGCTTCATAGAGAGCAGATACTTAGTATTCCTCTTTCAGGTCAGCCTGCTGATATTGACAGCGTCCCTGAGGAGGCACACCTGCCCCATCCATCATGGGCCACGTTCTATTCAGTTACCAAGGGTTTTTAACAGGTGGTGTGTGTGTGTGTGTGCGCGCGCGCGCACGCACATGCGGGCATGCCTGCTTGTGCTCATCTGCACAGGTGTGTGCAGGTGCTCCTGAAGTCCAGAAGAAGGCATTGAATATGGAATACCCTAGAGCTAGAGCTGATTGTAAACTACTTGATGTGGGTGGTGGGTCTCGAACCCTAGTCAGCTGGAAGAGCAGCAAGTGCTGTAAGTTTTAAAAGTCAAGAACAAACAGTGAATTTTATCAAACACTGTTTTTTCGTTTTGGTTTGCTAAAAGTTAATTTGTTTATTACTATGGCTATTTTAAATTTAGTGTGTGGGTGATGTGTGGTGCCTGTGCTTAAGTATGGAGTGAATAGACCTGTGAGTTCACTTGCAGAGGCCCAAACAAGATCAGGCATCCTCCTCTATAGCTGGCTGCCTTATCACTTTAGGCAGGTCTCACTAAACTGGAAGTTTGCCTTCTTGGCTGAGCTGGTTCATTAGCAATTTCTCAGGGTCAGCTGCCTGTCTCTGCCCACAGTGCTGGAGATGCGGACACACTCAGCCACACCCACAGCCCTGAGGTTAACATACTCTCAGCCACGCCCACAGTCCTGAGGTAATATGTGCATTCAGCCACACCCACCATGCTGGGTTACAGGCAACACAGCCACGCCCACAGTCCTGGGGTTACCGACATGCTACTACACCCACAGTCCTGGGGTTACAGGCATACTACCACGCCCACAGTCCTGGGGTCACAGGCAGGCTCAACCATGCTCAAACTGTCAAACAGCATCTGGGGATTCAAACTCCATGTCCTCATGCATGCAGAGCAAGTGTTCTCTCCCAGTCCCTACAATAGTGAATTTACAGAGACCGATACTGTTTTCATAGTCTGTTTGTGGGGACAAGACCCTAAGTACCATCTTAGTTAAGCTTTTGGTACACACTGAGGCCCCTTTTGAAATGAAAAAGTTGAAAGATAAATACTGTGTAAGTAGCCTACGCTACTGAGACCATGCCTTAGTTCCAGCACTGCAGAGACAGAAGGGGAACTGCCGCAAATCTGAAGCCAGCCTGGGCTACATAGTGAGACTCTGCCTTCAAAGAGCCAAGAGTGAGTGGAGCCTGGTGGTTGTGGCAGTGACAGTGGCACATGCCTTTAATCTCTGAATTTGAGGCCAGCCTGACCGACAGAGTACGCTCTGGAACAGCTGGGACTACCCAGAGAACCCTATCTCAGAAAACAAGAACAGCAGCGACAAAGCTGAGAGTGGCCTGGAGAGATGGGGTAAACGGAAGTGGCCAGGAACACCAGCAGACGGGAGACAAGACTTTGACCCTCGTGGTAACCAAACCATGAGGCACACACTGGGTAGAAGGAAGGATTCCTAGTCCCAGTCCCGGAGCCTTCCAGGAATATGAGGGAAACATTTCCAAGAACCTGTGGCTGTTAGTGAAACATGGGGGACTGTCCCGTGCTTACTAACAGGCTGGAAACAACACTGACCCACTACCTAAATCCTTCTCCAACTTCAACTGTACAGTCAGATCTGAGACTGAAAAAAGATATGTCAGGAAGCTGAAAGAATATAATTATGACAAATTTGTATTTAGTAATTAGAAGTACATTTAATTGAAGCAACTACTCATCAAACAACTTATTTTAAAGCCTAAGGGTAGATTATAATAATATTAAATTATTAGTATTAAGATGTTAATATTTTTAAACCTAGTAGTATAGTACAGTGGTTCAGCACTTGCTTAGCTGTGAGGATCAATCCCCTACATAGAAACAGAACACAAGGTTGTTGCCAGGAATTTAGTGAATGATACAGCAGAAGATCAATAGAAAAATTAATTAACAGCTGGACAACTGCTTAAGTATTAAGAAAATTAAGTTAGAGCCCTACTCTGAAGACTGTTTATCAAATAGACTCCAGATGGATAAGATTACTATGTGAAATTAAAAGAACTAAAGTAATTACGGACTGCTCATTAGGAGTAATGCAGGGCTCTGGGGAGACGGCTCAGTTGGTATCCAGTAAGGACCTGACTTGGATCCACGGAACTCAAGTAACAAAGCTGCCATGGCAATACTGCCTGTTGTAAATCCCAGCCCTGGGGCGGGGGGCAGACAGGAGTCCTGGGGCTTGCTCTGTAGATCCAGGTTCGATGAGAGACCTCATCTAAACAACAAAAACATGAAGTAGAGAATGATCGAGGGACATGCCTGCTGATGTTGAGGCTGGTTTCATCGTGCACACTCCCATACACATATGTAAAGTAAGTAATCAAAGAAAGCTAGCTGTGGTGAAATCTCATGGCTCAGGAGGTAGCGGCAGGAGGATTAGATATTCAAGACAAGACCATCCTCACTGAGTTCAAGGTCAGCCTGGGATACAGGGGCGTGCGTCTCAAAAACAAAATGAATGAAGGCTATCTAGGTGAAAGCTAAACAAACCTGACTACATATAACCTTAACATGCTGCAGAGTCACATTTGTAGCAGATAAAACCAATTTACAGCCATTTTGTTCCTACACGTTAAGAAATCAACATCAACGACTCACCTGCAGAAAACAAAAATAGTCCTGAGAAAGTGGTTCCCAGAGGCTGGAAATGTGCCAGGTGAGAGGCACATTGATTAGGGCTGCCCTGAAAATGATACTCCTCTACCAGCCATGCCTGGCTCTGTAGCACTCCATCCAAGCCAGTGGAAGCTGTGTGTGTCCTGGTTTGTCTTTTTTTTTTTTTTTTGCATGCGTGATGTGTGTGCAGGTATGGTGCTCGTGTGTGTGTGTGTGTGTGTGTGTGTGTGTGTGTGTGTGTGTGTGTATAGACCAGAGGTTGACGTTGTGCGTCTTTGGTCACTCTTCACCTTATTCACTGAGGCAGGGTTTCTCAGTTGAACCCAGAGTTCACCTATACTAGTCTAGCTAGTTAGCTTGCCGCTGCCGCCCAAATGCCGAGGTACAGGCAGGCCCCCACACTTGACCAGCATTTATGTGGGTGCTATGGCATGACATGAAGGTGGCATTTACCCAGTCTAGTCTTCACAGGCACACATGTGCTTATCTACTGAGCCATCTCCCCTCCCCAGTGTTGTGTTTTCTAAAATCTTTCCAATTTCTCATAATAGGATTCTGGACTATTTAAACAAGCAGCCTATAAATAGTAATACTTATGATCAGCACAGGCAGTTTTAGTTTGCTGTTTCTGACCTGTGTGAAGGAACCTCCTCTTAGGCATCCTGGTGGCCACTACTGATGCTAATCTTAGTGTAGACGTGCAGTCCATGTTTGCTGTCATAGTGCAGCACAGCCCACTGCTCCTGACCCTAAGTGACAGGCACAGAGTAACCCTGAACCGGAATGTTTTGATTACACAAGAACCACGGGCAGTGTTATTAACGCTATGTGAACAATGGGCAGCACACTTTGCATTTGCTATTTAGTCCTAACGCTCACCTAAGACTAAAGCCCAGAATATTAAAAATAATATATATATATGTATGTATGTATTAGGTCAGGTGTGGTGACTCACACTTTTGCAACCCTAGCACCTAAGAAACTGGAGCAGAGAGGGGTGTTGTGAGTTCTGGGCCAGCCTGGGCTACATGGTGAGACCCTGGCTCATATAAAAACAAACTTCTCAGCAGCCACTGACATGGGTAGAAGCAAAATTAGACTCTAAGTCTGCCCCACCGACCATCCTAGGTTCTCTGCCTCCGTGGTCTCTGGAGGCATCTGTTCTGGTCTAGACCAACCTCACCACACCTCCAGGGCCAGGTTCTCTGCCTCCATTGTTTTTCTTTCCTTTCTAGTTCTTCCCAAGCGGATATGCCTTTGCCACTGGCTCTGATGATGCCACTTGCCGGCTCTTTGACCTCCGTGCCGACCAAGAGCTACTGCTGTATTCGCATGACAATATCATCTGTGGCATCACTTCTGTGGCCTTCTCAAAGAGTGGGCGCCTCCTGCTGGCCGGCTATGATGACTTCAACTGCAGCGTGTGGGACGCATTGAAAGGAGGTCGGGCAGGTTAGTGATGCGGGGAAGGCGGGTTCTATCTTCAGGAAGCCTGAAGCGGCTCCCCCCACCCCACCCCCACCGAGGCCTGCTGGGTATCCTGGAGCTTTCAGAACAGTGGCTGGCTGGCTCTTCATAGTCTTCATTACCTTTGATGACAGCTGGAACACACACCCTATTGAAGAATGGCATTAGGTGCTATAATGGTATTAGGAGTCAAGAACAGTGAATATAAAATGTGCCGTCTTCCACAAGTCGGTTTCTTACATCCTTGTTTGTTTGCTTATTATTCTAATATGTGTTTTTATTCTTGGAACTCACTGTGAAGTCCAGGCTGGCCTTGAGCTCCATATCACCCTGCCTCGGCCTTCCAGTGCTGGGACTGCTGGTGAATGCCATCATCATGCCATGCTAAGCTGTCACTCAAGGCTAAGCCATCATTCTCTAACCTGACAGGAAGCATGGTTTCTGCTGTGGCTAATCCTCTGAGGACACAGACAGTCTTCCAAGTCTCAACAGAAACCGTCAACTGCAGGTCCCATTAAAAGACAACATAGCAACCATACTGGACTTGGGATTAAATGGAGTGATCTTTTTTTTTTTTTTTTGGATTTTTTCGAGACAGGGTTTCTCTGTATTGTTTTGGAGGCTGTCCTGGAACTCGCTCTGTAGACCAGGCTGGCCTCGAACTCACAGAAATCTGCCTGCCTCTGCCTCCCGAGTGCTGGGATTAAAGGCGTGCGCCACTACCACCTGGCTACTCTTGGCTACTCCAATCTTGAGAATTGTTCATTTTGTCCTGTACAGTAAAGGGAATGGGTGAGTCTCGGGTCACTGCAAAACAAACAAGTTACTGAGCTCCATGACCTCACTAAGTTACAGCCAGTCCGTGTTTGGTGGTGAATAGAAAGAACTAGATGAGTAATTTGGGTTTATTTTGGAAATAGGATGGAAGGCAACTATCTTGTTCTTCTGAGAAAAGTATACTGCATTGCACTTCGACTTAGAAATGTGTTTTTATTGAAAGCAGCACAGCTCAGTATAATAAAAATGAAATACCATGAACTTACCGGAAATGTGGAGTTTGCCTGTACATGTTTTCCTAGATAGAAAAATTACAAAACACTCATGGTACAGTGATATATGCTTGTTATCTAGCACCTGGGAGGTAGACTCAGGAAGATTAGGATCTTAAGGTTATCTTTGGCTGGATACTAAGTTCAAGATCAGCCTATACTACACGAGACCTGTCTCAATTAAAAAGATGACTTTTCAGAAATTGAAAACACACATTGATGTATTTTCGTGGTAAAAATTCAAGTAACCCATGGTATGCTATGTCAGTGTTCCTGACTTACCCTGGCAGCAGCCCCAGGATGCCTGTTCTTTATTAATCACTATCTGCGTGGTAATTCACAACCTTTGCAATTCTAAAACTCCAGCTTAACTCTGTATTGGCCTTTCTTTGTAGGTGTCCTTGCCGGTCATGACAACCGTGTTAGCTGCTTAGGTGTGACTGATGATGGCATGGCTGTGGCCACTGGCTCCTGGGACAGTTTCCTTAGAATCTGGAATTAACAGTGTCAGATTTTCTGTTCTCCAATGGCGATCCAGAGAAATCCATGCTATAGCCTATAGCTGTGAGAAAAAAAACAAAACTCTACCTTCTATTTGTGGATGAAGATTTTTCTATTGAGATGACTACATACAAATATCAGCTTTCAATAAACTACAAGCAAATGGTGGTAAAAGAAACAATCACGACTTGCTGAGTCAAAGGGTCAGGGTATTGAGCAGCTGTGTTGACTTTAACCCCGACAGACTCTCGCTTGTGCTGGTCCCTTTTCTGTAGAATACACTCTGTAGCAGATGAGCATTGTGTTTGCATTTTGTTAGGGACACCCCTTTAACTCTGTATATATGAGAAATGTTACATTTTTAAAGTGTTGTCATGGAAGAGCCAAGACCCACGATAGGCAGAAGTGAGATTGTAGATATGTGTGCTGTCTGAAGGAATCCCCCTGGGTTCTGACACTGCATTTTAACCTGACTCCCTGAGGGCTTCACGATCAGGAGGGCTGATAGGTGAGGTGACCGAGGGAGCCAGTGGCTGTCCATGCATTCTTCTCCATGCTAGGAATCTCAGTGATCCTTTTCATCCTTTGAGGGGACAGGTGATGTGAAGATCATTACAATTTATTATATTAATAACTAGTAGACACTGGCATGTAACTTTTTGTATTCTAAAAGGCTATTAATTTCACATTCTGGTGTGAAACCAAGTTTGTAGAATGTACTAGTATTTCAGAAGTTTGACAAACCTGACTTGTCCCTGCATCTGAAGACTCGTGCCCAGTATTCTCTGTAATAGGTAGGAACAGTGGCTCACCTTTAAAATCTTTGAGAAATATAAACTCATCCACTCAACTGGCACTAACATATATAATAAGATGGCTTTATGAATTCTATGTAATTAAAATCTGAATTGGTATAAATTATCTGTACCCTTGAACTTTCGCTTTCCCATTTGATGGTGCTGCAGAAGGAATGCAGGGCCTTGCGCCTGGCAGGCTTGCCCTGCAACCCTGGCTCCTCAGAGGGTAGCATTCTACTGCCCTGTAGTACTCGTCTCCTCCGCATGGCATACCTGTAGCTAAGTAGCTCACTGCTGTGTGTCTAGAGTTGAACCCTCGAGCCTAAAGCATTGTTTCAGAGGGGTTCTTCTCGCAGCAAGCTGTCCCAACTGCTCAATAAAACGTCTCTGTGTTGTCCTGCCTCCAGTCTGAACAAAGACGCCTCTTTTTCTCCTGCAGATTTCAACGATTGATAACAGCAGACTGTTAAGTCTTGCTGGGGTTTGCCTTTGTGGGTTACTTGGATGCGTGCAAACATTGATTTGTAACTCAGTAACGTATACGTTGCTATTTAGCAGTTTCTGTGTTAGAAGTCCATCACTTGATACTCCAAACTGTATCTGAAGTTTTCATCGTTATCTTATACTGTGAATCAGCATCAGTTTTATTAAGGCCAGTTGCTCCTAAGAGACTCCAGTGGACAGAACCTCCTCCCACACAGCTCCAGGGTTGGACCTCCTGAGTGGGGCAGAAAGGGAAAGAAAAACAGACACAGACACAGGAAAGCTCGGGTCATGTAGTCTGGGCTCTGTGATGGAGAAACAGACCCCGGGAAGTGAGTTTGTTACATGGAGTAGCATAGAGTTGGTGCTACCACATACAGATGAATAAGAAGCGTTTACAGTACAGAGCTGGATCAAGGACACAGGCTTAGCTAATCTCTGTAAGAGCAGCCTCTGCAGGAGAGGTCTTCAGGGTGTAAATATTGTGGGAGAGTGGGGGTGCTATGGTGGACTTTTCTACAGTCCATCAACATTTGGACTCAAGCATCCTCCCATGGTCTGAAGCAAAGGTCTTGATACCGCATACCCATGTCAACAGCACACATTCACTCAGGGCTTCCTTTGCTCTCTTCAGGATAGAGGTAAACTGAGACACCGAGTTGAAGAGAAACAGGCCATCAATGGCAGGATGAGGATGTCTACCTCATCCTCAGTGTCTGGGACCCCTTTGGTCTGGTCTACTTGTCACATAGGAGGTCACTTCATAAAGCACAGCTCCTGAAGTAGGGCACAATTTACTTTAAAAGGCAGTGCTGGGATGGGATCTACCTTGTATATGCTGCCCAAAAGTGCTCCACCAGGGGGTTACATCCAGTCTACCATACCCAGCTAGAGGTGAGGCTCCTTAGAGGATCACAATCATTCCCCCCAAAGGGCATGCGTTTAAGTCTGCTGTGTAGCTCAGAAATCATCCAAAACTCTGTTCAAAACAGCATTTCTAATGTGTGTGTGTGTGTGAAGTCATACTAAGAAATTCTATGGCCCTAAATATTCTAAAATGGAATTTAGGGCTGAAGAGTTGGCTCGGCAGTTGAGAGCACTTGTTACTCTTGCACAGAACCTGGGTTCAATTCCCAGCAACCATATGGCAGCTCATAACTGCCTGTAACTCTGATCCCAGGAGATCTGACTTCTTTGGGCACTAGGCACATATATACATGCAGGCAAAACATTCACACATGTCTGCTTAAAAAGGAATGTACTTTCATGTTACTAAAAGCTTGTGTAAAACACAATTTAAAGGTTTCCTTTAGTAGGAACCGTGATAAACACGTGGCTAACTGTACACAGCACCAACCTTTGACACAACAAGCTGCTTTCTACTTGATGGTGCCTCTAGGGTTTCTCTGCAGTTTCTGTTATGGCTAAATACACTGGCTTGTCTGAGACTTCCGGAAAGTAGCCTACATAATGTGCCTTAGCAGGTTGATGCTTAGCATGCACAACTCAAACGGAAGTTGTCTTTGAGATTAGGAAGACTTCTAACATTTTGACATGGCTCCTGCCACTTTCCTCAAGAGTTTCATTGTAAAGGCACATGTGCTTTTCTGAAGCAGTGTGACCACCATGTAGTTGAAAGCCTCAAAGCGCTGATCATGGACATCTCTATCTTGACATGAACAGGCTCCATTTTTGGCAGCTGTACTTCATATAATACTCCAGATCTCTAACTAGCTTGGACACATGTACTGTACTGAATTCCAAATTCATAAAGTCAAAGTGTTGGGGTCTGATCCTTAGTCTAGTCAGTAGCTGTCGTTTTAATTTAGACTTGGCAAGCTGACTAATGATGTGTTTCTTGAATGTTAAGGAATTAAATCTATTAAAGAGAAATGAACTAGTGCCTGCCTATAACCCTTCATTGGGGAGGCTGCAACAGAGGGATCACTGAGCACTGAGGCCAGTCAGCCAGGGCTATCAGATGGAAGCCTTATTCCAGGGGTTGGAGAGATGGCTCCGTAATTAAGCCTGCTTGCTGTTCTCACAGAAGACTGAATCCAGCCAGCTCCCAGTTCTGGGCTAACAATTGCCTGTAACTTGAAGGGATCCAAAGCCCTCTTCTGGCCTCCTCAGATACCTGCACACACATACATAATATATAATAAATCCCTTTTTTAAAAGAAAAAAACCCTATCTTAAAACAACCATAAAAATGATCGTTCTATTGCTGAAAGTACTCTCCAATTCTGTTGTCTTAGATTTAGTAGTAAAACTCAGACTTTGTTTTAGAAGTGAAACCATCCAGGGAAATTATGTGAATATGAATGTCATGGATTTTGAACTGTTGATGAGCCTAGAACTGAAAAAGCAGTCCCCTAGATGGACCTGCAATAATTTCAATAAGGAATATTCTTTTAGAATCTGCAGAGTACACCAAGCTGCACAGATACTTAAGTACTGTATTTATATGTTTTCTCTCTGGCCACTGTGGAAAGCATGATTTAAAATGATTACACTCCTGTGAGAAATTTAAAAGCCACTCACAGGTGAGTCTGTCGTTTTACAGAGATAATCTTAAATTGGATCCTGTGGAATGTGACGCATTCTGCTCACTTCTGCTCTTCACTGGCTACAACAGGTGGTCAACATCGTTAGCCACAGACTGACGGAACATCTTGTATTTAGGAAATGTTTTCCATGTTGATAGTTTTCTAAATGTTCTTTTCATTCTTCTTAAATGCAATGGTTGATTTTGTGGGGGTGGTATAATAATGTAGCATAATGAAGGAAAAACTTGTTTCAACTTGTATGAAATGTATTCAACAAAATCTTCCACAGCAGAGTCCTTAGCCAGGACTTCAATGGCATAGCTGTAGGTTGTCCAGGCCTTGTCTTTACACAACGGTGCTCTAGCCTCTCTCTTTCTCATCAAAGAGGCTTCTCTTTGAGCATCTGCATCTCTCGCCGAAGCCATGAGATAGCCCACACCTCAAGTGTGTTTTGAAGCTGGTTTGAGAACTTTCCTATAAGGCACCTTGGAAATGTCCTCAAATATTTTCAACACATGAAACCAATTGACTAGGAATGTCAGTCATGTCTAAAGTTTTACCATACATGCAGAGGGTTTGTGATTTGACAGTATTCTGAGTTAGAACAGTGATTCACTCCTTATTTGTACAGTTGCTTGTAAAATACTGTTGTAGTGGTCTGATACTGTAATCTATAACCAATAAAGTACTTTTCATCCTTGTTCACTGTACTATGTTTTGAATCAAATTTTAGTATGATTTTAAAATTTAAGCCTCAGAACTAAACTCAAGTCTAGTACTTCCATGGTTAGCTTACTTCCTTTGTTTAAATGCTGGTCTTTATCTTTTTATAAAAAAGGAAGGGAGAGACTTGGGTGTCACTGACCCAAAGCTAGTTTTTAGTTTATTGTTAAAGCCACAGATTTCTCATTCACGAGTAGGTCATTCTTTCCCTTAGTGGGAGACAAGAGCAGGTCTAGTGCTTGGGGAATAGACCCAGGAAGATCCCAAGTTTGAGGACAGCTTGGGCTATATGGTAAGACCTTGTCTCAAAAGTAACAAAATCCATCCTTCCCCTGTTGCTCCCTTAGGATAATTTAGTTCCATTTTTAAATTTGAAAATCTATTCAATGTTCATATTATCTTATTAAAAAGTTTAAGATTGGGCCGGGCGTTGGTGGCGCACGCCTTTAATCCCAGCACTTGGGAGGCAGAGGCAGGCGGATTTCTTTGAGTTCGAGGCCAGCCTGGTCTACAGAGTGAGTTCCAGGACAGCCTCCAAAGCAATACAGAGAAATCCTGTCTCGAAAAAACAAAACAAAAACAAAAAAACAAACAAAAACAACAACAACAAAAATTTTAAGATTAACAAGGAGAGTTTCAATTAGTTACCAATACAAACAAACAAAAATCATTAGAGGCAGGCATGTTGGCATCCACCTTTAATCCCAGCACTCAGGAGGCAATGTCAGGTGGGTCACTAAGTTTGAGGACAGCCTGGTCTACAGAGTGAGTTCCAGGACAGCCAGAAACCCTGTCTCAAAAACAACAAAGGTTTGTGTTGGTTCTATTTGCTCACAGACTCCTGCTAGCTCAGAACTTAACAGCTGCATGCTTCCTATGGAAAAACCTCTTAGCCTGACCAAAAGTGACAAACCAGGAACCTCACCTGGTGACTGGCCAAAGGAAGTAAATGACAGCAGCAATGCAGTAATCAGGGCCGCGAGTGTGAGAGAACTTATTTGACTACCATAAAAATGACTGGGAGTTGAAAATGAAAAGTCACTAATTCTGAGATAAATGCTGCATTTATCAGCTAACAGGCGAATAGGTTTATTTTCATCTTGTAAGCTTGGATACTTATAAAATAGGTTTTATAAAAGGTTAAGATCATACAAAGTTTATGATACTGTAAACATAGAGTAAATCATCAAGTATGTGTGTAGAGACTGAGCAGTAACAGTCATTACATTTTGGGTAACTTGCCTGAGTCCCATCAGCACAGGTGCACTCTTGCATGGTAGAGACGCTGGCTCCCAGTATTTCAACACTCTGTTCTCACCAGCCATGACCTGGTGAGCGGGGAACATTCCTGACTAGTAATGGGAAGCATCCTGTACTATGAACACTGGTTCATAGACTTCTGAGTACACTGAGACCGCCTGCAGGGCTTCATACCATTTCATACCCCTATGAAGCTTGAGAGTTTGCTCAAAGTTTAAAGGGAATGTTGATGACCCAGAGAACTACACTGTAGCTTGCTAATTATGCGGCCAGAATTTGAAGTGCTCTGTGTAACTTTGCAACTGAGGTTAGCAAACCTCAATTTTAGATAGTAGTTTTTCATGTCATTCTCACCTAATTCCACTTATTTGGCTGTACCATTTTGGGGGGTGAAAAATCAGCAATTATAGCAAAAGGTAGTCACGAGTGTTTAAATTTGAATACTGAAGCCCAAAACCCAATTTGCCTAAAACATAAGTCTGAAACATTCCTATGGTCTAAATAATGGTATCAATACTGTAACATTCTTCAAATATCTTAAAAATAAGAGGTGTACTTAGAGCCAGGTGTGGTGGTGCATGCCATTAATTCTATCGCTAAGGAGGCAGAGATAGGCACAGCTGACATCCAGGAAATACTTTACCTTTCATAGTCAGGTCAGAGAAGCAATCCTGCTGTGCCGTGTAAACGTATTCTCATACACGCCGTCAATCAGCCTTTAATAGAGAGTCCACTAACAGAGAGGGATCATTGTTAATGGGGCCCAAGGAAATTAAACTCAGAGATTCCAGGGGGACAAGCCCAGTGTGTCAGTGAGACTCCTAAGGATCCATTTGTCATGTCACCACATGCCACAAACACCTCCTGTGTTCCCAGTCTGGCCATCTCTTCAGACCTTCCACCTCACATTTAGGCAGAAAAGCTCAGCTTGCTGGACTCAAGGCTGAAAATGTTTCTAAAGAGACAGATACTTCATGCATGACTCTATCGAGAGGCCTTTCTACTATTTCACATCAGTTTTAATGGGATAGAAGAAAGGGTAAAAACTGTGTTTAGTAGTGGTTACATCCTTGCTGTGAGGGCAAAGTGACTGTAAGACACCCAGGAGCAGCCCACACTCCCTGTTTGAACAAATCAGCTTATAAACAAATTCAATATTCCCACCATTGAAGAAGGCATCAAGAACTAGTGAAGGAGGATGAAAAGATCTGACTCCTGGATGCCAGGAAACAATCAGAATCAAAGACAGAAAGCCCTGGTTAAGAGCTGCAGGACCCTCCCTCAGGGGCTACACAGTGGGTTCCACTGTTTCTAAAGGAATCCATCATTCAACCAAACAGTTCAGTCTTTACTTCAAACTACAGCTAATGACGCATCATGTCACTTCAAACAGTGCAACCCCCTTGAGACAGGTCATTACCACAGTCTCGGCAAGGCATCGATATTCAGAGTTAGTAATTCATACTGAGGTCATTTCATAAAAATAGCTCTCCCATCTTCCAAGTCCGCTTCCTTCTACAATGTGATCATCAGAGCAGCCTTTGTTGTTAAGAGTCTTCACTGCTCAAGTGTAGAAACTGCTTCGAAAAGTTCTCCAGCTCATTTTCAAGGTGAACGGCTTTATTTCTAGTTAAAAGACAATGAATAAAACACCAACCTAATTATCCTAACAGTCAATGAGAAAAATCATTCTATCCAAACTTAGAAACAGTCCTCTAAGCAGCCGTGGCCATCCTTACTGAAACTCATACATGCCACACGCACAGTGAACACAACCTCAGGCTTTAGAGCAAGGAGAGGTGGACTTCAATATCAAAACAGCCTCATGGAGAGCTTAAATGGCAGTCACATCTTAAGTCACGGCCATCACTGTGAAGTGTAAAGTACTGAATGACTCACACTTCAAAGAAGCTGACAAGGAGCACATTAGAATCATACCTGATGTATCAACTGCCTATGGGAGAAAGCCCTGACTGATTTACCAGCCACAGATCTATGCAGCATATTCTCATATCATGCCAGGGCATGTACTCATAGAGAAGAGACTCTATTTGTAGAGAAAGAGAGAGTTGATTTATGAAAACATGACTAAGGTCACCAAAGTGAAATGTACATATACCAGTGAATATATTTCTTCAGGCAACACTCCTGAAACACTGGACAGGATGGCTGAGCCAAAGTTGGTAATTGTGATTCCAACCAGTCATGCCTTGCTAGGCTAGAATAACTTCCAAGATGAGCATCAGAGACCATCACTTGACTGCAGTGAACATCGTAAGTTGTACTCAGACACACTTGGGGCCTACAGCCTATTCTACACCTGCGCTCTGTGCTACAGCCTAGGCTGAAAACTGGCTTGGCATGTCAACACTACAGGCAATTTAAACAGTAGAATTCATGAAAACTAACAGTTGAGTACTGTGCTGCACTGCATCCATACAAAGACTCTATCACTAACTATGAGCAGTGTGTTGACACAACGTTTGTTTAACTAATTATATATGCCCCCAAAACTCAGGCCATGAGGACAGTCCTGCAGAACAATGGCCACAAAGCTGCTCTTTGATGTAGAGCTATATATGTGCAGTGTGAGCCTGGAGTTGGGAGCATTGCTCAGACAGTGCATGACTACTCCAAGTCATGCTGGCAAGCAGCTCATGGTTAAGGGAGTGAAATAAACAACTGCTGAGTTAGAACTGGTGGTGACACTTCCACTCCTGTCTCCCACAGGATGCATAATAAATCACAACAAAGCAGAAGTCCAATTTATAAGGACACCTGTATGTTCACTGGTTCAAACACAAGTGTCCTTGGTCCTCAGAAAGAACAGAGGTTATGTTTTGGAATTCTTTGTTTGGTTTGGGTGTTGTTTGCTTTTTGTTTTTTAAAGTAAAGTCTCATGGCTCAAGCTGATCTTGAACTTGCCATGTACCTGAATTTACCCTTGTCTCCTAAGTGCTGGATACACAGGTGTGTGATACAATGTCCAACTGTCATTTTAAATTATTATCTCTAAAAGAGAATTACCCTAGCCAAACAGAAAGTAGGAGTCCTATAGAATTCCTTTAATTCAGATGAACTCTCCTGCTGCAACTGGTTTTCACTGAATTGAATATGGACAGCCACTGTCTTCCGATTTATTTTATTTTATGCGTGTTTTGCCTATGTGTGTGTGCCACCACTTGCATGCCTAATGCTGGAAGAAGCAAAGAGGGCATAGAATCTCTTGGAACTAGAGTTACAGGTGGCTTCTGGGTGTCCTTCATATATACAGTCTTTTCAGTTTTATGAAGACCACATGGCTGCTGGGAACCAAACCCAAGTAGGGTTCTCTGCAAAAGTAGCAAGTGCTCTTTTGAGTCACTGCTCCAGCCCCAAACATGGAAACTCTAAATTTAAAGCAACACAATTAATTAAAAAGTTCTAATACAAAGGCATTAGTGACTTCATTTAATTGGATTTTGGAAGCATGATGAAATTAGATATTCGTGTTATTGAGAGGGAAAATGTTTATCTACCTTAAGAGCTTCGAGTTGTTTTGTATTTTCTCCAGCTGATCTATTTCTTTGGATAATCTAGCAATTTCCTCTTCCAGATGTTTCTGAGTCACATCAACTTGTTGGCACAATCGAGCAAAAGTGGTAGCCATTTCTCTAAAAGAAAAAAATCATGTATATTTTTAAAAATATTAAAGAGAAAAACTTGTTTTGTTTTTTG